GTTCTGTGTAGTGAAGCAGCCCAATTTTTGTCTCGTGGTGCATTTACTTCAGGATGAAATGTGTACCCCAGGGCAGAATGTAAATGTAAGTCTCTTGAGGATACGATTCTGGTGAAATCAACGGGTCGTTTGATATATTCCTTTGCCCTACAACAGGATCAAATATACAGTATTTTTCTTTTGGAACAAGTAAATGAATGACTAAATTTCTTCATTTACACTAACCAAGCCTCAGGCCTCTGCTGCCCTTAGACATATATTTTGTGCAAATAAGGTGTAATATTTGATACAGTACTATTATGTCCTGTACTGTTTTTTTTTCCAAGTCCTGAAATCACTGTGATTTGCATTAAAAGGACTATTTAATCTTAATTAAAGGTTCACTATGAACAGAAAACCAGCCTTACCATTTCTGTGGACATCTTGATAAAAGAGCAGGCTATAGAGTAGATTGGCAGGTACATAATTTAAAAATTAGCTTTATTTACAGCTTCAGATAGCAGCATTTGATCAACTACTATCAGCTTTTTGAAAGAACCCGTTTTCACACTTGTTTAGCAAAACACTGATACTTTATTTATAAAATATTAAAATAAAAAAATCCAAATGGACTGTGAAACCTGTTTCAGGAAAAAAAACCTGGGTTTAGAGTCCTTGTAAGATGATTTTCTGTACAACAAAGTTAAACTTTTGGAGAGATGCTTGAAACTACATTGCCACCTGCTGTCTCTAACAACAATCAGGAGACAGGTCTGGTTGACTATATTATTTAAAATTCTGGAAGTATAATAGAAATCTATAAATTTGGAAATCCATTGTGAAGCAGGGGATGAAATATAAATTTTAAAATCGTGAAGAATGATTTAGTGCCCACTCTCCCTTTCTCTTGCTTGGCCATGATCGGTCCAGAAGTGAGATGAGTAAATGAGAAGGAAATTACCAGTGAAGATTGTTGTTTTACGATGAGCAGGGCATGACTAGCTACACATTCTTTTGCAGCTCTTATCACATGGTGACCAGATACATACAGCTGGGATGAAATCAGGGATACGAGATTCATGGAAGTGAAGAGCCGCTTATTACAGACGGAATGTTTTGAGAGAGACTGTGGATACTGCAAGCTGACTAGGAAGAAGAAAATGCTTCAGTCTTCTGTATCGCCTCTGGCAAAAAGGTGATTGTCTACAGGAAACTCGGATTTAGTCTCTCTACGGTAATGCTACATTTCAATGAATTAAGTTTTAGGAGAAGCAGGATGGTGAAAGAAACAGAGTAAGGTTAAGGTTTTTTTAACACCTTACTTTGAGTGTTTTGAGGGAACTAAACAGAACATAAGTTAATTGGTATATAAACACTGTTAAATTAATTAGAAGGGATTATGAATACCAATAGAGACCCCACCAAAAAAAAAAAAAAAAAGAAGATTAAAAGATGTACACGGAAAGGTCAGAACTATGAATACTAACTCACTCAAGTATCTGGGGAAAAAAAAACAAAACACTAGTATTCCATTAAACAACAACAACAAAAAAAAGAAACTGCATTAATTAAAAGGGCATAGCTTAAAGCAATATTTTTGGGACCGGGTTAGTAATAAAGGAAAATAAAAAGTTGCTGTATGGAACACTACAAATATTGCTATTCTTGGACAGTAGACAGGGAGACACATGGTGCCTGTTTGAAATGTTTTCATCCAAGTTAAACAGATGATGCCCTCCCTGATATATAAGAACCCAATTTCAATGTTGTGGGAAAGCATTGTTCAACAGACTTTGATAAGTACTTGTTCTTTTGTTTTGTCTCACTTTTATCAAATTTTCATTCCTGGACTTAATGATGATCCTACAATATATCAGCTAGACAGATTATTGTTCAGAGGTTATTCTTGATGACATCCCAGGGAGGTTCAGAGAGTAAGAGGTTCAGAAACAGTGATATAAGGCAGCCAAACATGCCAGCGGTTATCAACAACAGATCTTGTATGTTCTGTGCTTCACAGGACTTCACATGTAGTGTGTTACTGAGAGAAGCTCCAGGTTTTTTCTTTTCCTCCCTTGTTCTAGTCCCTAAATGAAAGTTTCAAAGACTCGTTAGCTGATGCATCAATCAATAAACACCATATAAAAGCTGCAAGGCAGTATCTGAAAAAAAGACATCATTTTGTCTGATGACTGACATGTTAATTTGATATGAAGACAAAGCAGTTCAGATAGCATGGCAGAGAGCAGATTTTGTGTACACATTAAACTCGGCCTCATTGTCTGGTTCTCTGCTATTGCTTATTTGTTTTCTTTGTAGTCTCAAAAGGGCAAAACTTCTATTACTGCCAGCTGGAGTAAGCGCTACAGGATCCGCCCCTATATATATGGTGCCTTTGGCCAGACAAAATTAACTACATCTAGAAGCAACACTATTCAAGGTAAGTCTTAAGGTCTTAACGTCCTTTGAAATGAAGGACTGAAGTAAGCATTTGGCTTTAAGCGTAAGCTTAAATGCCATCTTGAATAGTAAAAGATCTAAACGGGCTCTGAAGGGCTTTATTCGACGTGACTATACTCTTTAGCACAGCCAAATCCTCCTTACATTAAGTCGAAGATGTTTTTCCTAAAAATGAGGCAAAAAGTAGATTCATTTAACTTGCACGTTTACGCGTCGTTATTCAAGCAGCGGTACCTACAGAGCAACAGACTGGACGGTGCTTAACATTCAGCTCCTGAAACGCTTCTCGGGCCCATCACGAGTGGGCCACGGACGCCGGCCACCCCCAGAGCAGGGGGCACCGGGCCGGGCCGCACAGCTCGGCGGCAGAAACCCCGCAGAAGCCCCTCGAGCGGCCCGAAGCGCAGCGAGCCCCGAAGAGCCAGCGGGACAGAACCACCCGCCGCAGGCAGCAGAAGCCCAGGAGGAAAAACGTCCTACGAGGAGCCGGGCCTCGCCGGGCGCCCCGAGCAGGGCACGCCCGCTGCGGTTCGCGGCCGGGGGCTCCCCACCGCCGCACCGGCCCCGCGAGGGGGGCGCCGCCGCCCGGCC